CCACCCACCACACGTGACCTCCCGAGCCCTGACACGGGACTGGTCCAGACCAAGGTGGGCGGCAGGTGCTAGGACACAGGCTGAGATGAAGAAGGAAGGGGGGAGGGGGAGACACACCAAGCTTGTCATGGACAACTGTCACCGTGGACCACACATTGAAAGGCTGCTGCGTTGGCCGTAGGAGCGGGCTTCAGAAAGATCGAGGGGGAAAGCCCATGAGCTTTTCACTGCACTTTGAAACCCCTCGTCCGGTCGAAAGTCTCCTTTCCGTAACGCTCCGCGCTGTGTCTGTGGCTCTCAGATTTCTAGGGGACACAGGGTGTTCAACCATAAGCCCCTTGAGGGCAGGGTTTTCTCTCTTCTGGGTCCCCAGCACCCAGGGCAGCACCGGCACCCGGTACTTATCCCATAAATGTTAGCTGAATGGATTCATGACTCAGAGGAAAGCCCGCCCCCACACACGTCTGTATATTACGTGTATTTTTTTAAAGCAAGTGGTCAAGAATGTTCTGTCCCTGTGCATACATTTCCCAATGTCCTTATGAAATCTGTCTTTAGGAAGTGGGGCTGGTCAGAGAGAACTCCCTGGGCTGAGCTCAAAAGGGTGCCCCACTTCTTCCTGAGAAGGTTCTGATGGACCCCAGCCCCGAAGGCTCACCCCCCACCCCCCTCACTCTGGCACCTTCTCCCTCCTCTGCCGTCCTCAGTGTGGGCTGGGGTGGGAGAGAGGAAGCCCACCCTTGTTTGTGGTCCTAATTCTGCATGGCCCCCTTTCGACACCTTCAGGAAATCCTCTCTGGAAAAACACTGTTGCTCAACCAAAGCCACTTTGAAAGCAGAAGCAACCCTTGACCTCAGAGTCCTGTTGATTTGTTGGCTTGAAGGAGTCCCTAAATTTAAAGCCCACTTTGCCAGGAGCCAGCCAGCATGAGCCCAGTGCCCATGGCTCCCTTGGGGGAAGTCCTTTGAGGTAGAACCACCCTCTGACCCCAGGACCCTGTTCCCACGCTCTCCTCATGGGAACAAGCTCAGGGAAAAGTTCTCAGTCAAGAGGGATGCCAAGGCTGTGCCCCAGCCCCTCTGGAGCAGCGCCCCCTCCCCAGCAACGACTGCTGGAGTCTTTTCTGCCTAGAGCTTCCTCCCCCCCCC